GCATGCATGAATCATATTTACTATGGCTTTGAAGATTATTAGGTACGTGCATCATTTTATGATGTGCATTACTCATCTGCAATGTGATACACCATACAACCTGTGTACATACAAGATGTGAGCAGTTAGTTATTAACACTTGCACATCTTTTTCTCCCGAAGGAGAAGTTTATGTTTACATAAAAAAAATTTTAATCTCTCATTTATATGTTTTCTCGACGTTTCAAGCCATTTTGAATCGAATGAGACACAAATGTGGAAAAAGTATGTGTGTATGTGTGAAAAGATTTTTTGCCGTAAATCCAAGTTTTCTCAAAAATGGCTGAACCGATTCCAAAAATTTCAAAGTCATTTGATGTATCTCAAACTCAACTATCGTTTGTCAGTTTTTGTGCGACGATCTACCGAACGTTCTTTAAAACTTGAACTTAAAAGAATGTTAAACTTTTCGTCCCATTTTAAGCTCATACTACCAAATCGAATTTAAAAAAGTCAAAAACTGTTCGAAACTATTAGTTAAAATACTGTTAGATTAGTTTTAGTGAAAATCAACCGAGCCGTTTCCTTGTAATTAACTGTTGAAAAAAAAAATTAAGCCGATTTTTATGGAACTTTTTTTGGCGATATATATCATGGTCTTATAGAACATACTGAAATATTACGGCCTTACAACAAGTTCAAATAAAAAAATCATCAAAGTTTGAGAAATGGTATAGAGTTAACGTTTTTAAAAATAAATTAGACAATTGACTTGATATAACGATAGAGTACTTGGTCTTATGAACATTCTCTAACCATTAAAGTCCTGGTTGAATTATAAAATTGTTGATTTTTGGAAATTTGCTTACAGAGAATGATCCGACTTAACGTATTCGTTTTTCAATTATGTGTGATAAATCCACTAAGAATACTTTAAAATCACACATCAATCAATTAAATCTATTTTGGTCGATTGATTTGGTCTTAATTGGTGGGGAAGTTCATGTAACTTGTCCCCAAGGAAATAACCAATACCAACTAGTTTATAATTACTGATTACTATTTTATTTCATGAGAAGAGAAAACATAAAAAACTCTCATGATTTTTTTTTGTAAATCAATGTCATATCGAGATCGTTATTCTTATCATATTTTCTCATCCTATTTGAGCCTGGTTCTGCGGTTGAGAAAATCAAATAATTTTGTTGCAACTTTATATATTCAATCAAATCAAGATTCTAGACTGAGTTGGAATAGATTCCCTTTGTATTTCCAGTAATTGATACCGTTTCTTATTTTAAAGAATACGATGGAGCAGTTCAAAGGCCAAATGATAAAAAGAATAAGACCAGACCATCATTAAAAATTATTACGAGTCAATGGAAATGGAATGAAATCCGTTGAATAATTTATGAGATAAGTACTAAAATTATCTGTTCGAAATATAGAGTTATGATTTTTATTTAGTTTTTGGTGTACTTTTAAATTTATGTCTATAAACATAGGGGCAAGACCCCTAGTGGCGGACACCTAAGTTATTTATAAAAAATAAAAAAATATTTTACTAAATGTTTATTAAATATGATTTATCTTAGATAACAAAGTTAGAAATAAACTAAATTAACAAAAACGCAACCTTTGCTAAAAATAATTAATACTATAAATCAAACTTTGGCATAAAAATATGATTTTAAACAGTGGCACCTAGTACCGGACATTTCAAAATAACCTGCATTGATTACATATGTAGCCATCTCCACACTCTGGATGTCTGCACATGTGTCTTTGATGAATATCCTTAGATATTGCAAAAAAATCACTATTTATTCACCCTTTTGGCTGAGCCACACACGCATGGTCTCAGCTGATGCATTCACCATAAGCCCTTCATTCTTTGACTAGGAAATACGAAAAATTAGAGTATGTAGTGACCGTTAGCACTCATACAGAACAAAATCAAATAATTGGAATAATTACGTAAATTCTCACAAGAAATATCAATATGTTTACTGTCCGGCACTAAGGGACAGACATTTTCGTTCATTTGGTGACACTCAATAAATTGAAATGAGAAAAGACGAGAAATGTGGCAATGAGAATTGACGACAAAGGCTAAGTGAATTATTTATTTGTGGTGACTCTTACACCATGACCTGACTTTGGACAAACTGCCATTTATTATTTTCATAATATTAATTTCATAAAAATTGAGAAGGCTGAGTGAA